CACGGATCCTCTGAGTTGAGGGGAGCCCTGGTCGCAAAAACTATATTTAGGTGAATTCTTGCAAGTTCAAAGGACTTTTTTTAAAAAAAAAAAATGTTTTCGAATTGGTATTTTCCAATTAATATAAAAATGTTTTATTTATCAGACATGGGTGGCCGTTTTGGGAATCTAACAAATGATGTCTCATATTTCGCTGGCCCAATCAATTAATATCTTGTTGAAAATAGTTGCGGTTGAGAGGGGGTAGATTTACGGTGACAGGCGATGCCCCAAAAAAAAAAAAAGGATTTATGGTGACGAGAAAAATGAACGAAAAGGCAAAACCGGAGACTAGAAACTAGAAAGCCAAACAGAGATATAAATTAGTGAGATGCTCCTAAACAGGGCATGAAGCTAAATTCCCAGAATCAGACACAGTCCGCTAAATCTGTAAGTCTCTAACTTTTGTATGCTTCTTAAGATCTTCGCCAGCAAGTTTCATAATTTCTAGGGTCCACCACCACCACCACCATCCCACTTTTTCTTCTTCTTTCTTCTACGTCTATCTACATAATTACACAAGTAATCACATAAATAGGTGAGTGTCACCAAATCATCACACACTGATCCACCTCAAAGATCCCACAATTATTTTCATCCCACCGTTCTTCTTCTCTCCCCTCCCCTCTTTTGATTTTTTTTTAAGTTCCTTTCCCTGTTCTAACTTTCTATTAACCAACAATCCGATCTGCTTGCCGTTTTCTTTTTCCCTCTAAAGGTTAATCTATCTTTTCATACAGGTTCTTTACCAAATCCAACCCCACGAAAAGAAAATCTCCAAGGTTACTCCTCGCTCTCTCCCTCTCTCTGTGTTCTTCTTGGTTCTCTCAAATCGTTATAAGCTGATGATTCAACACCAGGCCAATCATACTGACCATCGATTCTCATCCTTGTTACAGAGCAATCTCTCCCCGTCTCTCGAGGCTCTGGAGTTTCGTGTATGAGGGATCAAATCAGTAGCTGAGAAACTCAGCGAGGCCAGTGAAGAGACTGTGAGAAAGGTGGGATCTTGCAGGAATGTGGAATATACAGAGGACAGTGCGAGGTGGGTGTGGGGGAGCGAGGCAGAGGTTGCAGACGCAGTTCAGTTTCAGGGGTACGAGAATATGGGATCGTGGGCTTTCCGTCATTTCCCAGACACGATCTGGCGACCATTTATGAAGTCACCAGGCGGACCAGCCTCTATAATTCTGGCGTTCACAATCTTCCTCGTCGTCGGCGCGTTGTTGGTCTGCGCGGTTTCCTTAATCCCACGGTATGTGTCCCTGCGTCCAACCTTGATTGGCTCTCTAAAGTCTCTTCTCATTAATTGTTTCCACGTTTCCTTCCTGTCACCCGGAATTCCCAACGCACACCATTTCTTTATTTACCCTCCCAAATTATTTAAACGACTTCCTGCCGTTGTAGTAGAATAGTAAAAACGGCCCACTAGTTCAGGTCGCTCCGACGGCGTGTCGTTTCGGGTGATCACCGTTTTGATGCCCGAAATTTTTGAATGTTGACATGCGCCGCTATTGTCGGTTAACTCGTGCAGGGGTGGGGTACAAGGAGCGTTTGTGGAAATGAAGCCACGTGTCTGCACAAGTGGCTACTATAAGTCTTGTGGGACCGCAACTACTTTCGTGCCTTTCAAATTTCGTGACTTCCACAAAGCCCTAGGATATAGCGCCACGCGTTAGCGCGCACTTGAACTTGTGGGGACCACATCGCGCGCACTGGGTCTTTCCATTTCTGGTCTCAATCCCCCGACTGACTTTGCTTCCTTTGTTTATGCGCATTATTCTCATCGGAATAAACTAGCGTTACAATTAGGCATGATAGATTCTATAAAATTTCAATGTTATTCATTCCGAACTGTTTCTTTCGGCATCATATATGCTCTTCCCATGTAGCAGTATAATATAAGTCTAGTTTAATTACCTCGTGTGCACCAAAAATATTAATTAAAAAGTAAGTTAAACTAGAAGAAAATGGCTTGTGCTATGAATGGGAAAAGCATATATACTTTTCTTTTTTGTCCTCGTCAAAATATGTAATCATGCAACACGGTAAGTGGTACTGTCAGTATTCGTTCTGGTCAAACAAATTATCATCACTTGTTCAAGTAGTCATTGGATAGTGGATACTTAATGCTCATGTTAACTGTGTGTGGGATCCTATCGTATCATATCATTATTTTTGTCGATTACATTTTTCTTAACCTTCAATTTTTGTCGGTTGCAAATCTTATGGGGTAATAACTTTGATATTTTTAAGGATGATGCCAAATAAACAACATATTTTACAGCCACAGGAGCTGACAAAGGTTTTTCTTACAGATAATTTTCCCAGGTCACAAGCAGGGAACCACGTCGTACATGACCAACTCCTACTCCGGGAGGCAAGTGGAAATTCCACTGAATTGCAGTGAATACAGCCGCACCGGAAAATGCCAAGGAAACTACCCTACCTCATCAGATGATCACGACCGTCAGAGAGGAGAGGCACGTGTCCGGAGTACTTCGTTGGATACACGAAGATCTGAGGCCGTGGGCCCACACGGGAATCACAGAGGAGATGGTGAAGAGGGCGAAGAGGACGGCGAATTTCAAACTGGTGATAGTGGGAGGGAAGGCGTATGTGGAGACGTACACGAAGGCTTTTCAGACGAGAGACGTTTTTACCCTGTGGGGGATCCTACAGTTGTTGCGAAGGTACCCAGGGAAGGTTCCTGATTTGGAGCTGATGTTCGATTGCGTGGACTGGCCTGTGATTAGGACCGTTGACTATAGCGGACCCAATGCCACGGAACCACCTCCGCTTTTCCGTTACTGTGCCGATGATGCCACGTTGGATATTGTTTTCCCTGATTGGTCCTTTTGGGGATGGTAAGTCACCAACCTTCTTATTTATTTGTTTGTTCTGCAAATTCTTACCTACTAGAGTTAATTCGTTCAACTGCCCAAATTTTGCAGTCAACTATACCGATTAATCTCCTGGTTTTATAAATTTTCTTCATAATGTATATTAAAAAAAATATTTTTCTGCTCAAAATGTCATTAGAAACAGAATAACAGAACATACTCCTCCGGTCCTAATTATAAGACCCAATTGACTTATTTGAGGAGATTAAGGAAGTAAGTTAAGTTGTTATTTATAATAAATAAGTGTTGTCATTCCTAACATATCCTTGCTAATTAAGTATATTGGCTAAAACTATCATTATTAGAAGGATTATCTGAAAAAAAATGCATAATATAAGAGACAAAATGGATTGGGTCTTATAATTAGGACCAAATAAAAGTCAAATTGGGTCTTATAATACGAGGAGTAATATTTAATTGACTTTCACTGAAGTCATATATAATTTTTATTATGTTCAAAAGATATGAAAATCTTTGTTCCAACAAAGAATAAGTTATTTGAATGATCCAGTTGTTTTATTATAAAATGATGGCTCATGCCATTGCTTTATTTTCAACGGGGATTCTTATTTTCGATTTTATAAATTTAAAGGTGATTTTATTCATATGTTGTGAATAATACAATTCATTTCACCTTGATACAGTAATAGGTTGAACAAGACACAAACTTTTGCCTGCTTTAATGAATCGGTCGAACCACTGATACAAAAAATTCTGAACAAGATCGTTTTAAAGTATCTTTACGTTTTTTAACGGGATTTTTAACTTCTTTTTAAATTTTTTATGCATTTTAATAAACTCGCTAGAAAGCAGAAACTACTAGTATTATGAATCAATTTAACCAAACATAATTGATAATATAATGATAAAAATAATATGATGAAGGCCAGAGGTGAACATAAAGCCATGGGAGAGACTGTGGGAGAGTTGAAAGAAGGAAACAAGAGAACAAAATGGACAAAAAGGGAGCCTTATGCTTACTGGAAAGGCAATCCCGCCGTTGCTGAAACCAGACAAGACCTCCTTAAATGCAATCTCTCTCAAGCCCATGATTGGAATGCTCGTTTATACTCCCAGGTAACTAATTAACCATGTCTCTCTCTCTCTCTCTCTCAGCTGTGTCTCTGTGACCTTTACTATTCTCATTCATCACAAAGCCTCACGTCCATATTCCAATATATCATATCAGGATTGGATATCAGAATCTCGACAAGGGTTCAAGAAATCAGACCTGGCCAGCCAATGCACTCACAGGTAATAATATATTAAACAAGTTTGCATTATTGTTCACTTGATACGTGTTTGTAAAATAAGCAAACTCGTGATGCGTGCATGCAGGTATAAGATCTACATTGAAGGGTCTGCCTGGTCCGTGAGTGAAAAATATATATTATCCTGTGATTCTGTCACTTTCTTAGTAACGCCCCATTACTACGACTTCTTCACGAGAGGCTTGCTTCCACTCCACCACTATTGGCCCATCAAGGAAGATGACAAATGCAGATCCATTAAGTTCGCGGTTGATTGGGGAAACACCCACAAAAAGAAGGTAAACTCCACACTAATTATAAACCCTGCTTATGTGTTATAGCCAGTGCCAAAGATAAGACTTGTCTTCCATATAACTGATCCCACTTAGTGGGATAAGACTTGTATTGTGGTTGTATATATAAAACTAAGATCACTGAGTTAATATGTTTGTGGAAACTGCAGGCACAAGAGATAGGAAAAGCAGCGAGTGATTTCGTACAAGAAGAGTTGAAGATGGAGTATGTGTATGATTACATGTTTCATCTTTTAAGTTCGTATGCTAAGTTGCTGAGATACAAGCCCAGGGTGAGCGAGAAAGCTGTTGAGCTGTGTGCAGAAGCCATGGTTTGTAAGGCAGAAGGGCTGGAAAAGAAGTTCATGATGGATTCGATGGTGAAGGCTCCTTCAAATTCCAATCCATGCACTCTGCCTCCTCCCTACGACCCTCCATCTTTACATCATCATTTAAGGAGAAAGCAGGGTTCACTTCTGCAGGTTGAATCGTGGCAGAGAAAGTACTGGGAGAAACAGGGTGTGCAATAAATTTTGAATATATACATATTAGTTCTTTGAATATACAGGTGAATCTGTTGATTATTAAATTAGAGGTTTCTCAGCTGTGGATTCTTTTTTTAAAACAATTATTATTATTACAGATACAGATTGAACACGCATTATTTCATAGTGATCTAAGTTTATTTTTAGAATTTTGATGAGAATTTTTTCACATTTTGAGACGATAATCACAAGGATTGCTAGTCATTTTGGCTTCTTACACATTAGGGCTCAGAATATGAAGGTAAGGGGCGATTTATGTATAATTATAATGCACTTACTAACAAAAAAGGGTCATCTACCAATTGAGATTGGTATGTATAAATAGTAAGAACTTTTTGAAATAAGTGGCTAAAGTTTGGTTCCCAACTCTCTCTGAAGAAAATATAGCTAGGATGAGTCTACTCTTCTACTTTATTTTCAGCATTATAAGACAAGGCTGTTGCAGACAGAAGAAACCCTTGGTTTATTTTCGATATTATGTGTTTCAGCACGTGACAGTCACGAGTCGCCTGAGGCAAAACATTATCTATGCCAAATTATAGATTTTTTTTTTTTGAATTTTTGGGTTATGAATTTAAAACATTGTTTTATGCTTTACAAATTCAGGAAAGATAGCCTGACTTACAAAACAGAGTAGCCATTGAAGCTGAAGCCATCGTAAATTTTTTTTTTTTAATTGCCCCAACGCTTCCAATTTTTTTAATGTTGTTTAATGACCAAAAAAATTATTGCATTTTTAATTATGCGAACAGAAGGTTGCATTTGCATGCAATCACATGGCAACTCTTGTCGTAGTTTCTTTCTCGTTTTTTCAACTTTGCATTTTTGTCGCTTAATTATGAGTAACCTGCACGCACACAAAACGACATGAACGCCGAGTAAGAAGCTAGCAGAGGCTGTTCAATTGCAGCGCATATTCTGAAACATTCACAGAGAGCAAACAGAAATATACAAAAAAACGAGAGATAACTATACATTACCTCTCATCCTTAATACTACTTCCGGTTCTAATTATAAGAACTAATTGATTAATTTGAAGAGATTAAGAAAAGAAGTTAAATGAGTTATTTGTAATAAATAGGTATTGTCTTTCCTAAAATATCCTTACCAATTAAATGTTTTGACTAAAACTACAATTATTAGAAGGACTATCTTGAAAAAAATTACATAAATATAAGAGACAAAATAAATTAGAGTCTTATATTTAAAACTAAAATAAAAGTCAAATAAGGTTTTATATTAAAGACCGGAGGTAGTATAAGAGTTAGCTAATTTAAATAGAATAAGAAAATTAGTTAAGTTAGTTATTTGTAATAAATAGATGTTATTTTTTCTAAAATATTTTTACTAATCAAGTATATTGGCCAGTATTACTATTATTATAATGACTACTTTGAAAAAAATTGAATAAATATAAGAGATAAAGTAAATTAGGGTCTTATATTTAGGATTAAAATAAAAGTACTCAAAATAAAGAGGACATTCTATTTATATATATATACCTTTTGGTCTTAAATATAAGACTCATTTGTAGTATAATTTACACAACAAAATGAATTTTATATTTAGGACAGGAGGAGTATAAAACAAAGATTACATAAATTAACAAAAAAGCACAGTTATTCCAACAAGCTAGCAAACACGCATAATACATCACTTGGTTACAATAAAAAGAGAAGGGACACAAAACTAGGAGGGGGTCAAACATCAACATGATTTCTCATCATCCTCTTGAGCTTTGCTACTTTCAATACGACGGACACATATATGTCATCTGCCACATCATCTACTCGGCGAAACACAGCATATCTCCATCTCTTCTTTAACAGGAGAGTCCCAATGACTGACCAAAAGCCAATCGCAAACCCAGCAGCTATGACAAAATAAAACCACACTTTCTCAGAATCCTTGTCGTCCTTGTCATCTCTAGAGCCTTCACTTTTATGAGCATGATCATCCAAATCACCTCCATTACACTTATTTGGAAGTGGAAATCCACAAAGATAAGGGTTGCCAGCATAAATCCGTTGGTCGCCCAAAGTCAAAAACTGGTTTTCTGTTGGAATTGGTCCTGAAAGATTGTTGTATGACAAGTTTAAGTGGCTCAATGAGGTTAAAGTAGGCATGGTCTCTGGAATTCTACCAGAAAAATTATTACAAGAGATATCAAAAGATTCAAGTGATTTAATATCTCCTATTCTTTCGGGAATCTTTCCTTTGAAATGGTTGTGCGACAGATTTAAGCCGTGCAGTCTAGTGAGCTGAGTTATACTTTTAGGAATAACTCCTACCAGATTGTTATCAGAAAGATCCATGTTCACCACAAACTTCAATATTTTGATGTAATCAAGTTCTGTCCCCTTCACAACTTGTTTAACATCCTCGGCAGGCCACTCATCAGTGAAGTCTGTTGTGAAAAAATTGAAATCAAATTTTACCTTGGCTTCATTTGACCTGTTGGATTTAATCATCCCACTAAGATTACCAATGCAGTGAGGTATTGAACCCGTTAAGTTGTTACTTGCAAGGTCCAAGATCTGAAGTGATGGGAGTTGACAAAGCTGTGAAGGAATTCTACCGGTCAACTTGTTTTGTCGTAGTCTAAGAATTTGTAACATGGGAAAAGTGTCCCCATTCCACGGTGGTATTCTTCCGACAAATTGATTCTCACCGACATCAATAATCACCAGTTGCTTTAAATTCATTAAAGACATTGGAAGCTCCCCATGAAGGCTGTTATTGTTCAAATGCAACCACAACAGGGAGGAAAGATTACTAAATGTGCTTGGAATACCACCTGATAGTTTGTTGGACGACAGGTTTATTTCATCCCACCCTTGATTATCCTGCCAGCAATCTGGAATTTCACCTGAAAATTTGTTCCTTGAGAGATCAAGTCGAAACAAGGTGGAAATTTTGCACAATGAGTTTGGTATTGAACCATTCATGGAGTTATTCCCAACAAGCAAATACACCAACCCAGGCATTATCTCATCAATATTTTTAGGCAATGATCCGCTAATGCTGTTTCCAAAGAGATTCAGTATTGTGAGCTGCTCAAATGACCATCTCTCGAAAGCAGATACTGACCCTTTCAAACTATTTAGAGAAAGATCTAATTCAACTAGTTTTACAAGTTGGCCAAAATTATCGGGAATGTCACCATGTAAACCATTATTGGCAAGACCAAGGTATTGCAACTTCACAAGTTGGCCCAAGCTTCGGGGAATGGTGCCTCTGAGACGATTGTTTGAAAGGTCAAGTAAAGTCAGGTTCACCAACTGTGAGAGACTGCTTGGAATAAACCCTTCTAATTGATTTCCGGCAAGACGCAAGAAAGTTAGATTCACAAGCTGTGTGAGACTTTCAGGAATTGTTCCATTCATATGATTGTTAACAAGTTCAAGTCTTGCCAACTGTGACAATTTCCCGAGAGAAGAGGGAATGGGACCATAGAATGTGCTTTCAGATATATGAAGCTCCTTTAGATTTTCAAGCTCCCCTAACCAGCTCGGTAATGAGTCATTAAATGTGTTCGAGCTCAAGTCAAGCTGCTCAAGATCATACGTGACACATCCAGATTCAAAGTTCCCAAATGCTTTTCCGTGGAAGTTGTTCGTTGAGAAATCTAATGTTTTTAAACGGCACATGTTCTTTAGAATCAAAGATAGAGAGGATTCTAAAGAAGTGAAATTGTTTGAGGAAAGGACTAGTTGGTGAAGGTTGGTTAGCTCACCTAACCAAGATGGAACAGAACCCGTAAGATGGTTGGAAGAAAGGTCAAGGACTCTTATGGAAGACAAATTTTTGAGAACAAGGGGAAGCGGACCTCGAAGTCCATTGTAAGCACCATTTAGTTCCTCAAGCTTATCAAATTTACTGAACCACAATGGCAATGAACTGAGATTGTTGAAACTAAGGTAAAGAAATCTAACAGAAGTCAGGTTTTGGAAAACATCAAGACTGCGACTTTCAAGTGAATTGTAAGTAAGATCGAGCACTTGAATCCTTGGAAGGTGGGTGAAATTAGGAGAGTGATGAGGAGGAGGGATCAGGGAGTGAATTCCACACTCAGCTAAATTCAAATAAGATAGAGAAGGAAGCTTGTAAAATACCTGGAATACATCATGTGTTTTCCCGAGGTCGACGTCATGCATGTCAAGGCTTCGCAGTGACCGAAACCTAGAAACCCAGTTCATGTCACTGAGTTGGAAATCATTGAGGCTGAGATCAAGATGGAGTAGGTTGGTGAGGTTGCTAAGATTATGCGGAATCTTGCCGCTAAAATTAGCATTAGAGAGAGAGAGATTTCTCAGCTGATGCATCGAAGCAAAGAAGAGAGGAATTGGAGCAGCATGAAATTGGTTTCCACTCAAGTCCAAGTAACTCAAGCGTTCCAATTGCACAAGAGATTCATCAACGTGTAAACCTCCCACAGATTGCTGGCCAAAGTCACAAGTTTCAACTGGTAAGCTATAACATGGATTCCTGAGATCAAGTTTGAGAACATGGCCAGTAACTCTGTCACAGGTCACAGCATTCCAGTGGCAGCAATCACTGGAATTCCAAGAAGAAAGCCTATCTGATGGATCAGTAGTGAGGGTTGCTTTGAACTTGAGAAGAGCTTGCCTCTCTTGTTCTAAGCATCCCACGCTTGAATTTCCACAAAAGCATAATCCTACAATTTCAGACAACAACAAGAGAATAGAGAAGCGAACACCCAGAGAAGTATTCATGCCGTGCCTGTGCATTCTCGTGGCTTTTCCTTGAAGCACAGATAGCCCGTGTATATTTATAACTTTATTTCCACCTGTGCTATTTCAATGGGAAAACTATCTTATTGTCAAAAATAATATTTCGAAGCTTTGGTCTCAAGAGTGGACTGAGTCAGAGGAGACAGACCTAATCACATGCATTATTACGAAAAGCCTATCACTTTCTGCATGGCAAGTGGATCTTGAATATTAGGGGAGTTCATATAGATGGGAGTGGACTGAGTCTTCTCGAGCTGCAGCGATTGATGGATTCGAGACTTAGCTAAAAATGAAACACCTGATTAATTTTATATTTAATTTAGTCAATAAAATGTTGTACAAGAAAGAAAGGAGACTGACTTCATTCAACAGTTGAATGAGTGTGATAGGTTCCATTTCCAACTGGATTTTATATTTCATGTTGAAAAAATGTAGCAAAATGTAACAAGGTTTATATCGTTTATGTTTTGATAACAGAAATGATTTACTAGCATTATTTTTCAAAATTATAACTCAAGTTTCCAAACTATAGAACATATCGGTTTTTTATGGTGATTATTTTCATTCAAATAAAAATAAGTATTTCTAAAACGTCTACGGTGGAGAATTAACAAAGTCATTGAAAGACATCTCGCAAAACGCTAATCGGAAAGTCTTGCAATTTGACTGAAAAAACATGCGAAATAAAACGCTTCTAAATTAACTTGAAAAAGCTGCATCGAGGCTTTTGGTTTTGTCAAATAAACGTACAGAGTAAGGACCACATGCTTGTCAGGGTGTGTTTGGATGAAACCAAACCGTGGTTTGGAAAAGTGATGCTGGAGAATAGATTCTGTGGAGAATAAATTCTGAGAAAAAGTGATTCTGAGAAGTGAGAGTGTTTAGATAGTTATTACCAGAAGCACTTTTTACATGTAGAAATTACCAAAAAGGGTATAAGTTAATATGATAATTATATAAGGGATAGATTTTATGATTTATTTTGATTTGAAGAAATAAAATTGTTAATGAAAAATTTTTACTAACATAATTAATAATATATAAGATAATATAATTAATACATAATTAATATGTGTACATATATTTATAAAACATAATATTAAATATGTTTATAGAAAAATGATTTTTTTTAGAATAGAAAAATATTAATTTTCTTTACAGATTGTAAATGTAACAACAACTATCAAAAATATTAATATATATTATTGTGGGGTGTTGTGTGGACCGATTGGGGAGAAGGCGTGAACGAGGGGAGGAATTATTGAACACAGAGTAAGTATTGAACACCCGAATAATTGGAGGCTTTGGTCATTTGTGGTGGGGCCCACCGTTCATTTCAGCAATTGGACCCGAGAAGCAGATGAGAGATGTTGCTGTCCAAACCATGGTTTCACCGGTTGAAACCATGGTTTTACCTGAACCAAGGTTTGTTTAATTTGTCTGGCTGTTTGGATGGTATTTTGTGCAAACTATGGTTTGGGCTTCCAAACCAAGGTTTACAATGCCATCCAAACGGTGCCTCAATTTGACTAGGTGATGATAGTTTCAAAATTTTTGACTTTCCTGCAAAAATATTTCTAGCGTTTATACTCTCTCAAGTCTCATCCCAACCTTTTTTGAACAACGGGGGAAGGGAATTAAACAAGTTGCTGAATCTAGAAGAATATGTGGAAAAAAACTTTAAAACCACATAGATCAGTTAATTTATAATTAAATAAAAATTAAAATTTCATAAGTCGTACTTTTATGGACAATTTCAACAGAGTAGTTTGTAATTGTAGAAGTGAATGTAATTTTCAGAGCAAATTGTCTAGTTTATTTTCCCACTAAGTAACATGTATGTTTAAGGTCCTGTTTGGAATCATGTTTAAAAGCACCAATAAGCACAATTTATATAAGTTGAGATAAAAAAAATTTCATATACTTATCTTGTATTTTATAAATCACAATTAAAAATTGTTTATAAATCATTCCAAACGGGCTCTAAATCTTGGAAATAAATGTGGGCATCATTAGTTATTGAACTGTTGGAAAATGTAAATTTTCATCAAGAAAAAAGTTTCAGGTTTATCTTTGAATTTGTCAATTAAACGGGTAGAAGAGGCAATATAAATGCAGGTAGTTTGAGAAGGCAAGAGAGATGAACGCTTCATTTTTCCGACAAACTTGCTTTCTAACCAAATATTTCTTTGGCCCCAAAAATGAAAACCAAGGCCAAGGCTCTTCTGTCACTCTCAATAAGGTCTCTATCCCCCTGACATTTCAACAAACTAATCAGAGAAGAAAACCAAATTTGGGGATTTATTTGCCGTGTCCAAGTGATCCGACAATCTCAAAGACTTTCACACAAAGCCTTCCCTTAAATGATTTTCTCGTCGATGTAGGGTCTTTAATTAGTGCATTGGACACTTTTTTTCTTTCCCCATAACTCACGTACTTGATATTCTTTACCGAGGATTCAAACTCACAACTCCAAGTTTAAAAAATCTTCAATAAGATTATTTGATATCTTTTGAACTACAAGAATCGTATCAACAAAAACTTGGTTCTAAAATCTCAACAATGATTCATTTGGGAAGTTAGGGAGGCAGTATGAACATTTTTCATTTCTTGCTGGATCTAAAGGCATTATCTGATAATGCTTTGACCGCCGCTTTGCTTCTCCTTACCTTCTAAAAACTTTCATTGCGTACCAATTATATTTAGAATGAATGCTTGACAGTTGACATGAGGAGTTTAGGACCTAGCAGTTTCTAAATGGGCTTCATGCTTATTGGACTTGACCGACATAAAATGGGCTAGCCCACACAATAGATGGCCTAGCCCGTTACTTTTCTCGTTTCATTGTCATTCGAATTCTCGTCCCGCATATTCGTCGATCATCAGAAAACATGGCCGTATTCTGCACACTCTTCATTCTCACTTCGTTTTCCTTTCTTTTCCTCCTCTTCGCTTCCTCTCTCCTCATTCTGTCCTGCTTCGTCGAAAAATCCCTTTAGGACCCAGCTTACCCTCCCGTCAAAGGCACCGTCGTTGGCCAGCTCCTCTATTTCACCAGACTCCATGACTATTTCTCTGAAAGGACCCAACTCGACTTGTTGCTCCCGATCACAGCGCGCTGTACACTACAGATACGCGAAACATCGAGCACGTGCTGAAAACCCTTTTCGGTAATTACACTAAGGGCCGGTATAACCAACAAATCATCGGCGATCTTTCTGGACTGGGGATTTTCGCGGTCGATGGTGACAAGTGGAGGCAGCAGAGGAAGCTTGCCAGTTATGAATTTTCCGCGAGAGTGCTTAGAGACTTTAGTTGCTCTGTCTTCAGACAGAACGCCGCCAATATGGATGGAGTTATCTCGGAATTTTGCCGTGCCGATCAGGTGTTCGATATGCAGGCCAGTCTTGAGAGTTCCGTTAATTTTTATACGGAAGTTACTAAAATGTAGACCGGTTACTATAAATGTGGACACCTAACATGACAAAACATGTAGTGGTTAAATGTAATTTGAAAGTGTGTTGTATTATGTTTAACAACCTAATCAAGGTAAGTGAATTATAAGGAAACTAAGAACTTGCTTTGAAGATGTACTTCTGGTTCGCTCTCTAAGATATGCTGATGAGATGCACCTTGGACTCTATTTTTAAAGTTGGCTTTGGAGTGGAATTGAATTGCTTGGAGGGATCAAGCAATGAGGGAAGAGCATTCATGAAAGCCTTTGACGATTCAAATGCAATAGTGCATTGGCGCCATGTTGATCCATCTTGGCTGCTCAAGAAGTTTCTTAACGTTGGTTCTAAAGCTTCCCTCAAGAAGAGCATCAAGTTAATGGATGATTTCGTGCACGGACTCATTAGGACAAGAAGGGAATTGCCGGCAATTCAGCAGGATTCGGTGAGTTCAATAACACCTATTGCATCCTCGAAGTTTCCTTTATACAATTTGAATGAACTCTTTCGTTTTCTCTGAAATACAAAATTTCAATTTTTCACTCCAATAAAAAAAAAAAGGAAATACAAGTAAAACTCTCCATCTAGTAATTTAAAGATCATTATCGATCAACGTCAAAACCTGTGGTTTGCAGAGTGATAAGGAGGACATACTCTCAAGGTACTTGGTAGAGAGTAAGAGCCTCTTTGAGATCCCAAACGTGCATCTTAACCAACAAAAGCTCTTTTTTTTTTTTTTAAAGTCATGTTTGGCATACCATTTTTGCAATCTAGCTTTTGGTCCAAATGGACTTTTGGGATGAAGCTGATGGATCTTGCTTTTCACAGTGGGCAAAATACCGATACAGTGAAATGGGAAGGAAGGTTACAGTATTTTGAGTTTTTTTAGTAATTTTATTTTTCTTACTTTTTTTAAAATGGTCACATTATATATATAATTTCTTAATTTCTTTCTAATAATAAATTCAATTTCTTTATTTTTAGTAATTTTATTTTCCTTACTTCTTTAAAATGGTCACATTATATAATTTCTTTCTAATAATAAATTAAATTTCTTTACTTTTAATAATTTTATTTTCCTTACTTCTTTTAAAATGGTCACATTATATATATAATATTAGATATATACTACCTGATAAAATCAATGTTCTTTTAAGTCATTTTGTATTCAAACTTGCTTTTCTATTTATCAATTAAATAAGTTTCAGTTTCTTAAACTGATTTTTTTACAAAACCCAATCCAAACATAAATCACATTATATCATCTAATTTTTACCTAATCTGACTTCTGTAAAAATCAGATTGAAAAAAAGTTACTTCTATCACCACCAATCCAAATACACCTTAAGAAGGAGACAGAGGATATAAATGACCAATATCTTGAGACACATAATTCTGAACTTTATAATCGCTAGCAAAGACATGAGTGCAAACACTGTACCATGGTTCTCTACATGCTCTGCAAGTATCCTTTAGTACAGGAAAGCATTGTATAAGAAATCAAGGATGTCACTTGTTGCCAACCAAACGGTCTTGACATTGATC